CCAGTCTGTATTTGTACCTTTGATTTTTCCTGCCTAAATGTAAAACTTTGCTTTTCTCCACATTGAAATTCATTTTGTTGGACAGGTTTGACAAGTTTGACAAGTTTATCAAGATCTTTTTGAATCCTGAGTTTGTCTTCTGGGGTATTAGCTACTCCTGTCAGTTTGGTGTCATCTGCAAATTTGATAAGTTCCCCTTCAATTCCGTCATGTAAGTCATTGATGAAGATGTTGAAGAGTACTGGGTCTAAGACAGAACTTTATAGTATCCCACTGATTACCTCTCTCTATTTGGATGTAGTGCTGTTGAAGACTACTTGTTGAGTATGGTTTGCCAGCCAGCTACAGATGCATCTGGTGGTGATGTTGTCTATTCCACCTTTTTCTAGCTTACCAAGCAGTAGGTTGTGGTCTACCTTATCAAATGCCTTACTGAAGTCCAAGTATACTACATTCACAGAATTTCGCTGGTCTATTAGTTTAGTCACTTTATCGAAGAATGAAATAAGGTTGGTTTGGCATGACCTGTTTTTGATAAACCTGTGCTGACTACTAGTTATAACTTTGTTTGCTTCTATTTTATATCTTCATGTAAAGTGTTCCATCTAACTTATTTAATGTAATTGGAATATTGAAATGCCATGGACATTTATAATAACGTATAAAATATCCAAGATAATTATATGTTAAAATATAAAACTCAGATCAAAGGAGAATTTATATATTTATGACTGGAGAGTGGATCTAATGACTTTAAACAGTTCTTTATTATAGCAAGAGAGCTTCTGGATCAATTGTATTGTAATATTAGATATTTATGAAGTCCAATTGTCTATTGTTTCTATTTCAAAAAATCTGTAGCTGTCTATTTTAATTCTTTTATACTTTTCTAAATCATTGATGAATAAAACCCTTCCTCTAAGGGAATAACTTCATAGTTTATAAATATGAATAAATAAGTATGAAATAAAAGCCATATCAATCAATCAATCAATCAGAATAGAACTGGAAGGGACCTTAGAGATTGTCTAGTCCAACCCCCTGCTCAAGCCATTTCAATCTCTTCTTAAAAATCTCCAGTGAAGAAACCCCCCAACTTCTGAAGACAAGCTGTTTCATTGGTTAATTGTTCTCATTGTTAGGAAGTTTCTCCTTAATTCCATGTTGCTTCTCTCTTTGATTAGTTTCCAACCTCCTGCCTTCTGGTGCTTTGGAAAATAAGTTGACCCCCTCTTTATGGTGGCCCCTCAAGTATTAGAATACTGCTATCATGTCATCCCTAGACCTTCTTTTCTCTAGGCTAGACATACCCAGTTCCTGCAGCCGTTCTTCATATGTTTTAGTCTCCAGGCCTTTAATCATCCTAGTTGCTCTTCTCTGCACTTTTTATATCGCTAACATTAATTTACCCCCCCTCACTTTTCATATACGCACACAAAGCATTGTCTTGAACATAATTACTCTTGTAAATATGTGTATAAAACAAAGAAATTCTAGGAAATTCAGGTTTTAGCGAACATAAAACTTTCAGCATTTGCCTGAGAAAGTCCTGTTGAGTCCTATGGTTCTTAATCCATGAGAATGAGCAGTGTTGTTCAGCCTCTTTTCTCTGCCATCCCTCTCCATGTATTAAGGCTGAGTGCTTCACCGGAAAACTTCTTTGTCCATTAACCTCCCTCTGAATCCTGATTTGCATGGAAATTTTCCATGGATGGAGAGATCTCTCCATGGCAGAAGTAAACCTTTAAATGAGAAAAGTTGACAAGTGGAAGGTAAGTCAGTATTCTTTAACTGAACTGCTTGAAACAACCCCAGTCAATGATTTCCACCCATTAGTTCATCTTTCTGTTATTTTCTTTGTAAAAGTCAGAAGGTGAGATTAGTATCTCTCTCCCTGTCTCTCTTGAAATGAAGTAGCTTTTCCTTCTCTCTTGTCTCCTTTCAGCCACTTACTTTTATTGTTCATACTCATTACTCAATTTAACAGTGAAGTTAAAGCACACTTCCTCCATTTCACAGCTAATTTGGGAGAACATCCATCCCCTCTGTATTTATTTTGAATAAATGTAACAGTTGTATATAGACCCATATATTTTTCTGGAAAGGCTTTATGGGTGTGCTGGTATCCAGGGATATAAAAAAATGGGCATCTATATCCCTGGATAACTAAGCTAAGAGTGAAGCTTATGTATATACAGTAGATACTGAGTGCTAGGAGTGGTGGTGGTGGGGAGTTAATGTGTAACTCAGGAAGGAAATGTTACTAAAAAAGTGGACAATATAAATTTGAAGGAATGATTTTGTATATTGCAACTCAAAGCCTGCATCTGCCTAATTTAATATTTTAAAATTTTAATATTTCCATTTTTGCTTGTACGATGTTGTGATCCACCCAGAATCTCCTGATCGTGATATAGGTGGCATATAAATTTAATAAATAAATACTGTAAATAAATTTACTAGCTCCCCCTTTTCAACCTGGAATGTTAAATGAATAAGAACTAATACAGGCAAGAAAAAGAAATCCACTCTAGAGCTAATTAATAGAAAGGCTTATCTCCAGAAATTATGGTGTTCCATCATTAGAGATTTTTTTAAAGAAAAGATTAGACAATCATTTGTCTGGAATGATACCGTGTCTCCTGCTTGAGCAGGGGATTGGACTAGAAGACCTCCAAGGTCCCTTCCAGCGCTATTATTCTATGTTCTCTGTTGTTATAGTCATCATCTCAGGCAAATGACTTACCTTTTAGTTTCCCTAAGTTGTCTTTCTTTAAAATAGTCGCATCAATTGACTAGTTGCACCAATTATTTTGGACTGGATGTCTGGAAACCATATTGCACCATTTAATGTCTGCATAAGTATATTCAATCTCATCCTAAAGATCATTGTATATATGTGTGGAGGAGACAGAATATAGAAAAACAAACCATTTTGAAAGGAGGAATGTACACTTCTTTGAGGCACTCCTCAGATTGGTTTAGGATTTTTACAACCTAGGTTAATAGTGTCCAAACCGTGCAGTACATTCTGGAAAATGGAATTGTATTAGTAATCTTGTTTATCCTTTAACTGGATGATGGTTGGGAGGCAGGGAGGATGTGTCTTTTATTTCTGCTGTACTTGTTGTATTTTTCCTAATAACAGAAAGATTTTATGTAATTGCCAGCTGGCTTTGGGAATTGATTAACTAACAGCAGACATTAATCTTTAAATAAATTAACAGAACTTTGGTTTCAGATGCAATTTCTACCCTCAGTATTCAGCAATAAGATATAATAGAATTGCATGAGTTGTGGGATCTTTCAAAGTCTAAGCTGGGACTAATATATATTCAGTAGATGACAATAAACACATATACACATTTTTCAAAACTACACTTCATTGTTTAAAACCTCATCGTATAATCTAATTTGTATAACCAATTCTTAAACATGAACGCTAATTTTAAACAGTAAATACTGTATACAGTTAGTAAAATACAATCTAAGACTACCAAGTTTAGAAACATAACTAACGTGGAAATAAATCCTGTTTATAATTAGTATTCAGTGTTCACATGCCAGCATTTAATATGATTATGTGACATGCTGGCTCTTTGTGTGAAAGAAGAACATTTAACCCAACACGTCTATTTTGAGATGATACTGTACTATTGTAGGAGCAAATACCAGATTGAACTTAATATGGATGAAAATTGGTACCAAGAATAAATAATTTGGCCAATCCCCAAATTATAACTTGAAGCCAAAGTTGAGTTATGGATCCTAAAAGTGTTTTATACATACCTGACACAATATGCTGCATGAAAAAGCGAAATAAAATTCAAAGACATTTTTTCAACTCTAAATGAGGCATTTGTAGGGTGGGATAAAAGTGAAGATGGCAGTCATAACTCTGTAATTGAAAGCCCAGCGTTTTTTTTGTGGGAGAGATCTTCAATTGTGCATCTTGACTTTTCTGATTCCCTATTCCTACAGATGACCCTGTCTGTTACAAGTTGTTGCAGTTAGATAGATCAGGAATGAGGATTACAGATTTATCCATTAGCACTGTCAAGGGAATGTGCAGAATAGTGCTGGAGATGATTTTTGGAATGTTTCTGAGACTTTGAATCCAACCCAACTTCTTTTGGTTCTGTGTACAAAACTGCATTTTTGATTGCATGAAGGGGCGGGTGCATGTGCTAATATTATAGAATTGTAATGCTACTGCATAAGCAATACTGTTTTTCTTTTTTGTTGGGGATGCTTTAAGTTAGCTTTAGTTCTTTTCGTTAAATCGTTTTTGCTTGCATTTAAACTTTATGTTGATTTTGCTTCATTTTTTTTTTCCATTTCTCATGCTGTTCAGGTTTTGGATGCCAGGAAAACAAAGGTTTGTTCACTCTTTGCAATCAGTTTGTTTGCAAAATGTAGCATTTCTTAATGTGTGATTTTTTGATATGCTTATTTCAGTAGCTGCAACAATCCTGCTTAATAAAGTGGCTCATAGCTTTCATTAGCAGCCTCATTTAACAGTTTAACTCCTTTGCTTTCATACGGCGTGATTATCACTAATCATTTGCACAGTTGCACTGTATGAAAATGTCTAAGCTTCTCTTCCCTCCTACATCCCAACCAAACCTAAATTCTAAGGCTTTTTAGATACAGTGTTTGGTTATGGAATGCCAGTCTTTAACATTTACATTTTTAACATTGTTCTTTTCACCTCCTTGTCATAAGGTTTGTGATTCACTATGGGTAATATGTGTAGTTTGTACTGTCTTGTGTTTTTCATTCATCTCTGTATGGTTTCTAACTGCAGCCAAGAAGCATTATAACAAATAATATCACTCTCATGTGTAGATTCTCACCATAAATTTTACTAATGATTGGAATATTGCTTCTTTATTTAAATCTTTATTTAGAATTTTTTTTTAATTGCAGCATCTTCAGCTAACAATTCAGGCACTCCAAGATGAACTTCGAACCCAGAGAGACCTTAACCATCTCCTTCAGCAAGAAAGTGGTAACCGAGGTGCTGAGCATTTTACTATTGAACTAACAGAGGAGAATTTCCGAAGACTTCAAGCTGAGCATGATAGACAGGCAAAAGAGTTGTTTCTCTTGAGAAAAACCTTGGAAGAAATGGAGCTGAGAATAGAAACCCAGAAACAGACGCTGAATGCCAGAGATGAATCCATCAAGAAGCTTCTAGAAATGTTGCAAAGCAAAGGGCTGCCATCCAAAGGGATGGATGATGAAAACGAAAGAACTCGAAGGATGGCAGAAGCGGAATCTCAGGTTAATCATTTAGAAGTGATCTTAGACCAGAAAGAGAAGGAAAACATCCATCTCAGAGAGGTAAGGAGACCGTGCTCATTTTGAACAGAATTCAGCTGCGGTTTTTGCAGAGTCTAAAAAACAAATGGAAACAGGATGGTTGCAATCTTACTTTCTGTAATAGTTTTATAAGTGGTCTTCCTCTCCAATCCACTTCCCAAGTGGCAAGGAGAATGTAAACATTTGAAAGTGATCCCCATGCTTCGGCAATGCCATTTGTAACTTCTGGCTTGCAGTTCTGTGGAACCTAACTGTAAACTATTATACTTTATATGAGTGATGTTTATCTTGGGGAGTGGGTGTCTCTGCATGTCATAGTACACTCCTTTCCTCACACAGGGCCTAACAGTCATTCAGGAAAGTTTATGCAAAGCAGCCAGCGGTAGAGCTGAATTCTGGATCCTTGTCATGTTAATTGAATCTTGCATCTTATATTTATTGAAGGGAATTTTTAAAGCTCTTTTCTACTTCTTGGGAAGGTGATTTTGCATTTCTTTAAAACAGCTTTTCTATGCAAGGCTTAATGCTGTTTTTACTGTATTACTGTATAAACATTGGTCTTGCTTAAGGGTTTGCTGCTGATTTTTAATAGTACAACCAAAGAGGACCTAAAGATCACCAAAAAGGGGTTGGGCTGAATACAAACTGTTGATCATGGGTTAAACCTGGGCCCAACTGGACTAAGGAGACCTAAGAAGAATGTTCTCATTTTCACACATGGTTCCTCTTCCAGCTAGGAATCTCTGCACATGTATTAAAGCTGGCTTTGGCATACATACAGCCCTTAACCTTTTGGCTTCCCTGGGCTGTACTGAGTGAAGAGAAATTGTCTTGAACTGCAAATAAAATATATATTATAGTTGTATGTAAATAACAAACTTCCTTTAAAAGTTTATGCTCTTGTGGGACCACATTAGTAACTGTCCAGGGCTGCATGAGGCCCACAGGCCACAGGTGGGCATACCTACCTTAACTGGCTTTGGATCCAATTTTTTATCTGACCATTCCTATTCTAACATGCTTAATTCTTACAATTCTAATTTCCTAAAATTATTTTTCTAGGAATAGTTAATCTTGATTAAATCATAAGTCACTGTACAGATTATAGCACAACATCATTTTTTGCAGCCCGTTTCGCAGTAACATTTTGAGGTATAATAAAAATTGGCACCATTTTTTTTAAATGTGGGTTTTAGGGAAATTATATAGTTGCTAGATTTAATAGAGCAGAAGCTTACTAAGAACTAATCAGATGTGATAGTGAAGAAGAGATGCCAAAAGAAGGTAACTCCTAACTACTGGAATTCTGTGTTAGCTGTTCAAGCTGCATATTTCATGCCAAAACAAGAGTTGAACAAGAAGCTTTCAGGCTAATATAGCACATTTCATTCCTTATGTTACACAGAAATGGGCCAATACTTCTGTCAGTCTTTTTCTAGCTTTGGGGCCATTTTTATTCAGTTTTGCCTTTTGCAGCTTATTACTGCAGCTTGATTGGATGTGAACCTAGGCAAATAATCTCAGACAATGTATAAGAAAGTCACTATGGATTGGATCTTTGTTTTCATTTCTTTTTCTCTGTTTATGTCAGCTAATGAGGAGGCATTGAAATGCATGTATATGGGATAGTAAGATTTTATCAAGATACAATGGTCAGTTTTGCATACCTATTAGAAAATTGCAATAAAAACATTAGGTTTATTAAGTTTTCCGTTGTCTTCACTATGCTCTTTAGCTTTCATAGGATTCCTCAGGGATTAAGCTGTATGATAAACATAGAATAAGCAACGATTTGTGGAAAGGTTTAAAATCTTCTTTTATTTAGAGCAAAAAGTAATCACAGCGCCCGAGGCCCATTCTGATGCTTCTAAATAAATGCATGTGGTTGAATTTCTTGACAGACTGACACCTTCATCCTTTTCATGAAGACAGATATGAGCAGAAATTGTCCACAAAGGTAGAAGGTAGTCACTGAAGGTAGTTTTTGTTATCCCTGCACAAATTTTAATAGTGAAAGCATTCTTGTTCGAAGGGCAGCTTCCCTTCCTACAGCTTTCATTTCATACTGCCTGATTATGAGCAAAGGTTATTTACAAATACATTGTGATAGTTATTGTGCTTTGTATAAGTTAAACAGAGGTATACTTAATAATGGAATAAATAATAATTAATAGTATGCATTATAAGAGGCATAGTTAATAATATGCTACAGTTGGCCCAAAAAGCCAATGCAGTCCTAGGCTGCATTAACAGAGGGATAGAATCAAGATAACGTGAAATGTTAATACCACTTTAAAATTCCTTGGTAAGACCACACTTGGAATATGGCATCCAGTTTTAGTTGCCATGATGTAAAAAAGATGTTGAGACACTAAAAAAGAGTGCAGAGAAGAGCAACAAAAATGATTAGGGGGCTAAAGCATATGAAGAACAGTTGCAGGAATTGGGTATGTCTAGTTTAATGAAAAGAAGGATTAAGGGTGATATGATAGCAGTGTTCCAATATCTCAGGGGCTGCCACAAAGAAGAGGGAGTCACGCTATTCTCCAAAGCACTTGAAGAAACAATGGATGGAAACTAATCAAGGAGAGAACCAACCTAGAAATAAAGAGAAATTTCCTGACAGTTAGAACGATCAATCATTGGAATCACTTCCCTCCAGAAGTTGTGGGTGCTCCAACACTGGAAGTTTTTAAGAAGAGACTGGACAACCATTTGTCTGAAATGGTATAGGGTTTCCTGCCTGAGCAAGGGGTTGGACTAGAAGACCTCCAAGGTCCCTTCCAACTCTGTTATTCTATTATTCTGGATACTCTCAAGTATTTAACTTTTTCCTGAATGAGTAGAACAGGGTTAATCCTTTGAAAATAAAATAACAAAAGAACAAGCAAAGTTTACACATCAATGGGCTGAAATATTTCATATTTCAAAACCAGGATTCCCAAACTTTCTCTTATAGCTCAATGGATCCAAATAGAATTAGATTTGGAGTAACCAGAAACCACAGCATTTGTATTTTTATAATCTCTGTAAAATTTCTCTATGAATTTTATACTAGCTATATAATTTAGGGAGAAACTGTGTCAACACCTGGACAGTAATTTTTTTCACTCTTCTTAAAATGTTTACTTTCCAAGTCTTCAGACAATTCAGAGAATAGGCAGAAGCCTTTGTAAAGTCCTGGTTGTTACTGGACACCTTGCATCTGTTCCAGATATACTACAGGTAATCCTCATTTAACATTGACTTGCTCAGTGACTGTCCAAAGTTATAATAGTGCTGAACAAGGCTTACTTATGACTGGTCCTTTTAGTTGTGGCTGTTACAGCATCCCCAAGGTCACTTATTCATGATTTCAGCATTCGGCAAGTGGCTTGCAGTGATGATGCCACAGTGTTCTGCAATCCCACAATTGCCGTTTGTGACTTTCCAAGCAAAGTCAATGGGGAGCTGACAGGAGGTCACATATGTTGAACGTGTTAGTGCAGAACGCTGTGACTGTGAGGGATTCACCAAACAACAACCACAAGGACTGCCAGCACTGGGGTTGTAAACTGGTGCAGTGATGTGATGTCGCACATTATGACTGTATCTCTTAGCAACAGAGTCCTGGCCCCAATTACCCTTGGTAAGCATGGATTATTAGTAAAGAGAAAATATAGGCAGAAAAACTACCTTGGTTTTAAATTGTGTAAATTAAAATTTATTTACTTATTTTATTAAATAAATGACTGGGAGGTTCACAAAGAAAAACATATTCATCTAAAATTACACTTTGAGCAACTTGTAGAATTTTGTATTTGGTAAACATTTGTGATTAAAGACAGTTTTTCCAATGTTTATAACAAGTTATTTTTTGTATCAGTTTTTCCAAACTACTTTAAAAGAATTTGAGGATATGATTTATGACCTGAATAGATGACATTGTAATGCGCCCCATAGCAAACTACTCTCAGAAGTCAGCGCTGCCAATATATAGAAAATTGGACGCTACATTATTTTGACCCAAAATGGGAAAGGCGCTCTAAAATAAAATTTTAAAATCACTTCATATATAATATTGTACTTGTCCATAAACAGTATATTAATCATGCTATTTCAACTTTATGCTGGAGCCACTATGGGCCTGTACTCAGGCCTCAGGTTTCCATATTTGTGTACAGCAGACAACTTAATAATATTAAAAAATGCATTTAATTAACTTTCCTGTTTCAAAATGAAGGATACCTGACTTTTATTCTCAAATTTGGTTACACGTCTGTTTGATGTGTTTTTTTTTAAAAAAACACTATTCTTTTTTTAATCACATGGCAATCTAGCACAGATGCTTATTATTACTCTTTCTTAGATAGATGTAGTGACCTCGCTTTACTCTAAGTACTTAAGGATTTCTTTTTAAAAAATATTATTACTGCTGTTAAAGTCTTGCCTTTAGTTGATACATCTCTAGTAAAGTGTAAAGTTTTTTTTTACATAAGTATTTTATGTATACATATACCCTCACAAACTGAGTATACATTTAAATGCGTTTTCCCTAAAAACAGAATATGATGTCATCATTACATCCAGTTTTTAACTCAGGCTTCTATCAAAGTTGTTTTGTTAAACTGAAAAATAGGGTGTTGATGTATGTAAGTGTATAATTATACAAGTACCCGTTTCAAATGCTGGACAACTTAAAGTAGAAAAAACTCTGCTTCTCTCTCTACAAATAACGAACTGAAAGGATGGGGACTGATAATAGAATTTGAACTGCTGACATGAATTATTTATGGTAAAGTTTTTAGAACATTCACGGAGTAAAATTTCTTCTGTAAAACAGATGCTTTGCAGACATTTTGTGTTTATTGTAAATGCCTTTCATTGGAGCCTGTTATAATTCACTAAGGAAACTTTTATCAACCCCCAGCATTTCTTTCTCCACCCCTTTGAGAAGTTAGTTACACAGATTAGCAACCACTCCAACACCAGCCTCTTTATTAGGTTCATTTTGACTTCTTTTAGACAAGCTCACAAACTGT